AACCATACGCTGGAGCATATCAGTTTGATGCTGCAGCAACCGGAGCATCGACTCTTGCCTTCTGTCAGCAAACTGACGCCACCTATCCTCTTCAGCCACTTTCTCTCTTCACCCCGCGATTCAGCCCGCCACCTCTCCTCTCGTTCATATTGTGCTTTTCTGCACTCTGACATTGTCTGCCTCCACGTATTCTGCTGTGCTCTGTCAGCGTGGGAGGACATCTGGAGCTCCGAGAACATGTCATCCCGAGTCTGCTGTTTTCTCCTTCTAATCTTCACTAGCCTCTGCGAAGGAGAAACATTTGCAGGTGGTGGAGGAGAAGGGAGAGGTGGTAGTTAAAAAGACATTTTAGAGAACAATGGGTACACTCTTTCACATTAAATCTTGCTGTTCACATTACACAGCACATGTGCTTTCGTTACAAGGTCGCATTTTTCCTCTTATATTGAGGGCCTGCTGGTTTGGTGTGAGAGATCACTCACGCAGTGCCAGGCAACAGAATTCGGCTTGCAGGCAGCCATGGTAAGCCACAGTCTTTTGGCTTTTTTAACCTTCATAACGTGTGGGAATGGTTTCAAACAGCAGCGCCCTCATTTCCCAAACCAAGTGGCCGTTGGGTTGGCCATTTAAAATGGGTTTGCAATTTAAAAGGAGGGGCTGCGGTTTCCGGGTTAACATGCAGCACAAACCCAGCTAACCCCCCTTCCCTCCCCCCCACCCCCCAATTCTCTGGGATGATCACTAACAGCGGGGAACATTTCTGTTCAGCAGAGCAGGAACGGGCACCTCTGAACGTCCCCTTAATAAAATCACCCTATTTCAACCAGGTGACCGTGAATGATATCACTCTCCTGAGGATAACAAAGAGAGATAAGAAATGGATGTTGTCTGCATGCCAGCAAACACCGGGACCATACGCTGCCATGCTTTGTTATGCAATGATTTCAGACTATGTGCTACTGGCCTGGCGTGGTAAAGTGTCCTACCATGGAGGATGGAATAAGGCAGCCCTCCCCAGAAACCTTTTGCAAAGGCTTTGGGAGTACATCAAGGAGAGCTTTCTGGAGATGTCCCTGGAGGATTTCCGCTGCATCCCCTACACATTAACAGACTTTTCCAGTAGCTGTACTGGCCATGAATGCCAGGGCAAATTAATCATTAAACACGCTTGCTTTTAAACCGTGTGTAATATTTACAAAGGTACACTCACCAGAGGTGCCCTGTGTGCCCTCAGGGTCTGGGAGCATGCCTTGGGCGGATTCGGAGGTTACTGGTTCCAGGTCAAGGGTGAAAAACGTATCCTGGCTATTGGGGAAACCGGTTTCTCCACTTCCTTGCTGTGAGCTATCTTCCTCGTCCCCAAAACCTTCTTCCGTGTTTCATGATTCTCCATTGACGGAGTCAAAGCACAGGGTTGGGGTAGTGGTGGCTTCACCTCCTAGCATGGCATGCTGCTCAGCATAGAAGCGGCATGCCTGTGGCTCTGCCCCGGACCTTCCGTTTGCCTCTCTGGTTTTGTGGTAGGCTTGCCTTAGCTCCTTCATTTTCACACGGCACTGCTTTGTGTCCCTCTTATGGCCTCTGTCCTTCATGCCCTTTGAGACTTTTTCTAATGTTTTGGCAACAGAGTTCAGCACTGATTCGTCTCCCCATATGGCGAGCAGATCCCGTACCTCCCGTTCGGTCCATGCTGGAGCTCTTTTGCGATCCTGGGACTCCATCATGGTTACCTGTACTGATGAGCTCTGCATGTTCACCTGGGCTCTCCACCACGCTGGGCAAACAGGAAATTCAAAAAGACAGGGTCTTTTCCTGTCTACCTGGCCAGTGTATCCAAGTTGAGAGTGCTGTCCAGAGCGGTCACAATGGAGCACTCTGGGATAGCTCCTGGAGGCCAATACCGTCAAATTGCGTCCCTACTATTCCAAATCCGACCCGGAAAGGCCGGTTTCAGCGCTAATCCCCTCATCAGAGCTGGATTAAAGAAATCAATTTAAAGAGCCCTTTAAGTAAAAAAAAAGAGCTTCGTCATGTGGACGGGTCCAGGCTTAAATTGAGGTAACG